ACTGGAGGGTGATTGCATCTTTTTGCTGAGACATCCAGCTGATTACCTTGTTTTTCTTTTGTTTCAGTAATTTCTAATGGTTTTTTTGATTTGGTAAATTTTTTACGAGGTTGTTGTGGTTAAGTTGAGAACCTTGTCGGTCCAAAAAAGTTCAATGTATTTTATTAGGCAAAAAATGTTTGTGCAAATCATATTGCAAGAATTTTCATAATACCACCTCGAGTGAATACGTTGTCCTGTCTAATTTGATCGTCGTGTGGTTAGACGTGGCACTCAATATGGCTAGGACAACAGACTTGAAGAGTACTCATTAATTCTTGCGCTAGTTGCTAGCCCGATTTGTACAGAGCTTCAAATCTTTCAGCTTTTTTTACTTTAAATGATTGACATGCATTGACTTTGCTAGTAACAAAAGCTTACTCTGACTCTCAACAATCAACAACTTTGACAACTGATTTTGCCCCACTTTTTTTGCTAATTGATGATTCAAAATTGATCTTTGAAATAGTTTTTTTTCTGTAAAACTTCTCAACTTACGTGGCTCGATCTCGCAACATTGCTTTAGTACCGAGCTGATAAAGAAAATATGGTATGTTGCTCCTGCTCTTTCAGAAACTGTCAGGACCCAACAGTCTTTTCAACACGCATTGTACTCCAGATTTTTGAAAGCACTTCTAGACTCCAGTAATTTGCCTCGAAACCAATTTCATCAGACACTTCCTTGACTCTAGGAGCATAGTCATTAGACTCAATAGTCATCGGATCATAGGGTATGAATTTTGTATCCAGTGAATCTAACTGTCTTTTTTGAGATAACTTATGTTTCACTTGCCTAGGAGACTATAGTAGAATCAAAATAATGTCTACAGTCATCATTAGATCTTCGTTACATTCAGTTTTGTTTAGTTTTTTCGGATTGTACGATAAATTCAAACAAGTATTTTTTAGTTTTTAAACGTAGATTTGAACTTGATATTTAAGCTGTCATATTTTTATGCAAAACATTCAAATATTGGCGTGTTATTGGATTTAATTTTTTGGGGCGTTTAAAAAATGACGCCGACTCGTTTTTTTTCTTGCTGGCTCCATTGGTTCTATCACATTGTAAGAATAAATTTTTTCACTATCGAGCTCATACGAATGCTGTTCAATTGAGTAATTTATTCATGTTTCAGAGAAACTGAAAACTGTATTCTCACCAATCGTTGTCACAAAGTTTTTACGTCTGAAATTTTCTTGGTTATGCCTCTGCAGTTTAATCGCAAAAGTTTGATATTAGTGTCAAATTTTTTAATAGTTTTTGAGGTTTGATTAAATTCTATCGCCGGATTTGGGTTGTGTTAAAGATCGCCTGATTGAAGAAATTTATTTTACAAGATTAGGTATAATCAATCCAGAAATCAGAAAATATTCGTATATTTTTATACTTATTTTAGATATATGCGAAAAGAAAACCTTTTAGTGTAGTGCACTATTGAGTAGATACCTTGTAGTAATTAAGTTAATAAGCTCTTGAAAGATGTTACTGATATCATCGGATGTCGTGATTTTTCTAACATGAGAGTTGGTCCACTTTGTACTATAACAAATTATAGCTAGTTTATGCTCAGTATGCCGATCATACTTTAATTTTCTGTTCAGTGAAGCTACCGTTGTATGATTGAACTATAGTATCCTTGGACATTATTCATTTTTATAGCTGTTATACTTGACCCCAGAGTTAAGCTTTTCCTTTCCTATGTTATAAGGAATGGAGAAAGTCTCTCAGGGTTTTGGGTGTCTGTTGATGTTGCGCCGGTTGCATCTCAGCTGTTCAAACTACTGCTTGGTCCAAATAGTACGTTTATAACTACGATAATTTTTCGGTAGACTTCTTTCTGGTGATAAAAACTTAAATATTCTTTGTATGTGGCCGATTTGCTCAGTTTAGAAAGGTCTCCAAGGCTTACACTGGATTTGATTTTTACAGCTTTTTATTGCAGCTCAGGTATTATTGAAAGAAGATTGGAGGTAAAACTGTGCTTCTGAAACATGTTTCGGAAGGTTTGATCAGTTTTGGGCAAAAAATTCCTCGCCCACTTTTTGTTTACAGATGGCGAGAATTGCTCATACTCTCCTCCGGCTGTTCAGCACGACCCCGAACAAATTGAGCTTTATAAACACCTCAGAGCAACTTCAAGGCTCCCCACCACCTCCCAGCAGCTACCTTGTACCTCAAATTCAACCATTAACTCCACATCTCAGCTCAAAACCAAAACAGCAAAACGTAATCAAACTGAACTCTCAAAACCTCAACCCGAACGGAGCAACTCCATTGAAGATCCAATTGGAATCGAGTTTGAAAATAAGCCCAAATACAAGTTCAGGGTTCACTTCGTACCCCCGTCAGTAAAGAATCCAGACGGAGCCATCCTGAGAAATCGAATGGAGCCAGACGTATTCCCACCATCTATGTTCATGGCATCAGTACTGATTTTATTCTTCATTGTCGGGCCTGCACTAATTTGTATTTCAAAAGTCTCACCTGAAGGCATCGAAAGTCCACCAGAGTCGCCAAAATTTACCGGTGTTTTTTTACCAACCGAAAACGGAGATGACGAAAGACTTGCACCCACTTTGTTAGCAACCGGTGTAACCCTGATTGTTGTCGGAGTATCGGGGGTACTGTTGCAAATTTGTATCAATCTTCTTCTTGCGAAGAAGAAAAAGTCGACCAAAGGAAGCGCGTTTCAAATGTTGAGTCGTTGAAATGACTCGATGAATTGAACATATATCTAAAGATCATTGAAGGCTCATTTGATTATAAGTACTGATACTGTTGTACTTTATAATTATTCTAACTGAAAAAACATTGGGTTGATAGAGGTAGATTCTAGAATCAGAACTGTTTTGAATTAAAAATAGATTAATATGAAAGTATTGCTATTATCAAATTACATTCGGGGGCGACTGGTCTACCAATACCAGTTATTCATAAAGGATAAAGGACTGCTTTTTAGCCCATAATTGGCTCAAACACTTTACCAACAAGGAGTGAACCTTATAATTTCTCGAAGCGGGATGATTTTTGAGAAAAATTGACAAGAAGGGTAAGATCAAAGTTCCCAGTTTCGATGGTATGGTTTTTTTTCCAAAGCTGAAGTCACAACAAACTTAAGCCAAAACGAATGAAAAAGCAAAAACTGACACGTTCAGAACAAAAAATGAAAAAAGAAAAGATAAAACTCAAAACGAAGTTGTAGAATCAACTAGTGACTCAAGTTGAGGTTTCAGTTCAAACTAGCATTTTTGAAAAGAGTTCTACCTAGAAATTCAAGAAAACCGCACCAGGTTACGCTTCACTTCAACATTCAAGTCTTGAAGCATTTTTTTGATACTTTTATCGAAAAAAGTGAATGGGTGTTATAAAAATAGTCTTCAAAGAAAGTATCGCTCCATATTTAATTTTTAGTTTTTAATTTTCAGTGAAGCTGAGTTTAAAATTGAAATTCAAAAGCTTTTCAAAACCGAAATTGTGAAGCATGGGATCAATTGAAGGTTCAATTTGAGGGTTGAGTCAAGACAGCTTTGGATGATACTGAAACAAAAGCAGTGGAAAGAACTGTGTTTTCAACTTATGCCTTATTCAAAATCAAACCTTGATAACTTTAGTTGGAAATGTAACACAAATAAAAAAAAACAATAGAATGGTATGAATTTTTAATTCACTTCTATCTCTAAAGTCTTGACCCACTTTCACATTTTTTAGCTTCAAAAAACGACAATAAAAGCAATGTAGATCAATTTCAAGGTATAACTGCCAAGCTGAGGTCTTTACCTTTCCAACGAACTTTTTTAGGTCCAAAATTTTAACCTGCTTGAGCTGTTTACGGGATATTTTTGGCTTTCGGAACACTTCTCTGTCGCGCACTAAATAAAAACAGAGAAAAAATTCATCGATCATGTGTCAAATTTTGAACCTTTTTTTAAATTAGGTGCAAAGAAAACGGCACAAACGTGCAAACCTGAAAAAAAATTTTGTTCATTTTATCTCTGGAAATTTAAAAGTTGCAACTTCTATGATTGTTTCTAGTTATGAGTGGTACAGGCCGGGAGCTCAAAGAAACAAAACAGGCAACTTGGAAATTAGAACAACCTGAATCAATTGCCAGTAAAAAATAACAGATAGCTTGAAATTTTGATTCGAGTGCTGAACATCAAGCCAACGGGACTTCTAACCAAATTGTAACACAAAGAAATTCAAACCAAAAAATATTTCTATAAATTACATTGAGCAAATTGAATTTTAATTTGTTTAGATTAAACATTTCATGGCGAAATTCAACGCTTCTTATTTTTTGTTCCAAAGAAAGTGAGAAAAAAAATAAGCTCGGGGTGCTTTCTCTAATGAAACCATATTTAAAAGGAACCTTCGGCTTTTTTCCACTCCCCCTTTCAAACTTTCGATTTTTATTTTTGTCTTGCGTATAATTATTGCTAAACTCAAGGTCAAAACTAGCTTCAGAGGAAAACGATTATTACTTTCTTCAGATTTACAAAATTGTACAGGTTCTAACAACGTAACCAAAAATTTGTGATCCACACCAAACGTTATTCTTAAACCAAAAAGGGTCGGAGCTTTTATCGTTTTTGTAGCTAAATCTATTCTAGAAGAAACACAACAATTAATTATTGGTTCAAGTATTTAAGCTGAGTTTGACACGAAGGAGCTCCCTAAAGTTGTGACAGTTAATTCATACCGCGGTTGTTCTGCAATAACAAATTTTCAGTAATTAGGAATTATTATACCTTTTTAGCTCAAATCATTGTTTGTGTGCGTCCAGTAATAAAAAAGTTCACGCCTGGAACTATCAATTTTTTTGCAAACTCCTCCTGTTAATTCCGGAACTCAATCAGAAAGTGGCACAACAAAAATTGAGGTTAACAGCTTATTGCAAGAAAATTTAATAAAAGCAAACATCAATTGTACTTTATTACAAAAAAAAACATTGTTAAGATTGACAAGCAAGAATTACTTTTCTATGATGAAATACAATGCGTAGATCCGTAAGTACTTTGGAGAATGCGTTATTTGAAAAGATGCTACCTCAACTGAGCTTATCGCTTCGAGTCAAGTCACAAAAACTGTTTTACCCTGAAGCCAAGTGCACCCTCAGAGGAACTGCATAAACCTAGCTTAAGATTGAAATCGAGGGCCCACCAGCACTTATAGAAATTAGTGAGTGATAGCGATAACGTCGATGATTATTAAAACTTCACGAATAACCAAACTTACGAATATATGAAAAAAGAACGTCAAACTAATTACTTACGCAACAAGTAGATTCTATAAAATTTTAGCAGTTACATGCCCGATCAATGTTGTGTTTTTTTTTGTTTATAAATAATTTGTTATAACTTCTTTTCAAGGCTCTCCTTAATTTCTCCACCCCAAATTTCACATAAAAGTAAATCACAATAATTTTTTTAGATGGTGCTTTTGTATGGTGCCTTCTAAATTGATAATTTACACAAAGCTAGGTACTCAACTCATATTTATATTGCAGTTTTTGAATCACTCTTTCAGATTGCAATGTCACCAACATTGACCCTTGTATGCGGCGACATCGAAGTAAGCCTATGCGCAGTTATGTCTTGGAGAACCTCAAAATTTTTCCGAAACAACACCATAAGTAAATCAAGTTTCTTTTTTAAGTTCCAGAAGCATAAACAACAAACAAGCTGAAATACGCTTCCTTTCAGAAATGGTTGACTCACACACAATAATTGGTCTCACTGAAACTTGGCGGGAAGAAACATCTCGCCTGCTCGTTCTTCAACTCAACTCATATCATTTTCCGGTGCACACGAAATATGTTCTGGTCAAAACTCAGAAGGATACACTTCGTCCTATTCCAAAAAAATCTAATCAGAAAGGACGGTAGTCGCTTTCGTCTACAATCCAAAACTGTAGTTCAAACGTTTAATCATTGAAGACACAATGAAATATACTTTGAGAAGCCAGATTTCTGACTCTCTTAGCAGATTTTACGAATAATCACCTGAACGAACCGGAGCCTAAACTACTCAGCTATTCGATTTATTTGTGTGACTTGTCCGCAGCAAATAAAATGTTGCGATCATTCATTTTTGCATAGAACAGATTCCTCTTGGATTAAGTTGTCATAACTAAATCTCTGCGTTAAGAAATTTTTCTAAAAGAAGCACCAATTGATAAGGACCATCAAATAACACTGAGTATTAGAAAAGTCAAAAGAGCAGAAAACATTAGTTCCTTTCAGTAATTGAGAGTCAAAAAGAAAAAGTAACATAAAAATTGACTTTGTGAGAAATTGAACAAAACCTCATGGTTTTTTTGAAATCAAGAACAAACAACTCTTTTTAAATTCTTAAAAAAGAATCAGGAAATAGCTAACTTTCAGAATCTCGGCAACCCAAAATGCTAAAAAATTTCATCAACTCCATCAGAAATACAGCGAAGAAAACTATTCAGATAAACGAGTTGGATTAATCATTTGGTTACTATATCAACGATAAAAATATAAAAACAGACCCTTTATTTCAATTTTTCAACTCTAGAAGCCTAAAAAAATACACATTCTCTACTTTCATGGTCTTTTTAGCCTACTCTTCTGAGAACTGATACTAAAAAGAGGTCGTTTCAGATATGTCACTCACAAAAAAAGTATTGAAATTATTTTCATGCTTAAATTCGATCTGTTTGTGCCATGAAAAACGAAGTGCATACGATCAACCCTAGTTTACCTATGATAACAAACTAAAACATCTAGAAATTAATCAAACTGGATTGGAATGGATAAAATTTTCCCAAAATAGCTTTATGTACTGTATTTTGTACTTTGTTTTTTAAGATGAATACAACCGATCTTAGAGTAATTGATTTGAACTAATTGATTTAAACAGTAATTGATTTAAACAGTGTTGATTTAAACTAATCGTACAAAACAAAAAATATTAAAACTCCAAACGCGTTTTTCTAAAATTGGGTTACAGTTAGACAAAAACTAAAGAGAAGAAAGCTTCCTGATCGTTTCACCCAAAATTACAGAATTAATACGATGATGCAAGTTGATTGCCGAATTCGCAACAAAAACTTTAACCCAAAAATTGGTCAATTTGGTTTTCTTTCAATTAATCATTAATCACTATTGAAATGATTAAATTAAATGATAAAAAAAATTATATCGCAATAAGATTTTTACACAGCCCAGCAAAAATCTACAGAACTAAAGACACCAAAATCTGTATAAAAGAATATCCTTTTGCTTAATAGCCAAAAAACTATATGAAATTTAATTGTTGCTTAAAAATAAATTTTAAACATTTTGTGCAAAGTTTTGCAGAGTCTATTCTCCTAGAATTGTGTTAAGCATAGTAGGATGCTTCTTGCGACATGAATTTTTGATCAAAAATTTTCAGTAGATTTGTCTAATTTTTGATTAACTAAAAAAACCAAAATGGCCTTTTTTTGGAGGTGGGAGGGGGAAGCCGGGGGGTGGGCAGCAAAAAATGTTGATTGCGTTTTGTGCAAATCAATTTGCATCCTCAAATATCTTTGTTTCGAGTGAAAAACTTAATTTTAAAATTCTAAAATTTCTACAATTTTCTGCAGTTCTGAAGTTTGATTAAATTTCTGAGCAATTTTTCTTGTTAATTGTTTGTCTAGTCCGAACTCAATTTGAGAAAAACGCGTTTATAATTCAGATATTTTTTGTTTTGTCATGGTAATTTAAATCATAAAAACTAATTGACAGTTTTTCGCCAATTGGGTAGAGTTAAAACGAAAATGACAACGACAAAAATTACTACGGTTTTTGGCAACATAAAAAAGTGCATTTTTTG